AGTTTTTCTTTGTTTTTAGGATTATAATTTCAAATAAAACTTATTAGAAAAAAAAGAACCTTTATAATGAATTGAAGGCCTGGGGAAACATGTTCTCGTTCTCTCTCTCTCTCTCTCTCCCTCTCTCTCTCTCTCTCTCTCTCTCTCTCTCTCTCTCTCTCTCTCTCTCACACACACACACACACACACACACACACACACACACACACACACTTTCCATGCTTTTTTGTGTTGAGGACAACTCAGGGATGTCCTACTGGCACAGTCTGTGCACTTTTGGGGGGTCTCTGAGGGCAACAGGGTAGTGGGGTCAAGCTCCACCAACCCTCCTGCCCCAACTCTTCATGAAGGTCAGAAGAGGGAAGTCTATGGTGCTGGGCATTCCCAGATTCATCTTGGCCACTGGATAAGGAATTCCCAGAAAGAGGAGAAAGCAACCTTCCTCTCTGCTCAACTTCTCCATTCTCTTCCCCACAAGCTCCTTGTGGCCCCACCGCTTGTTCTTCCCGAATTCTGCAATCAGCAGCTAGAACAATTTCTTAAAACCATTCACAATAAGGACCGCAGAGAAGCAAATAGCCAAAGCAAGAACATCTTACCTGATGGTGCTAAAGAGCGCGTAGATTTCAGGACTCTTCCCATCTTTAGTTCTCAGAAGAAAGACATCTTCTGTTTAAGAGAGGGGCGGTACACAATATTTAGAAAGGGCAATCATTGGCCTGTCACCATGCCCATTCCAAGGAACTTATACTCCTTCATCTTTCACCTGACAAGCTGAAGGAGTGCAAGTAGGAAGCTGAAGGTGTGTATCACTTGCTGAAGGTGTGCAAGTAGTGGAGCTGATTTTGAGAAGAGTTTGAGAAGAGAACCCTTTAACTCTGCTGCAGTGAGTCCCAAGCACTCTGCAGATTTACTGCATGACCTAGAAGGCCTTCATGTTGTCCATTTTGTCATGATACTCACAATACCCAAATCCTCCAATCTGGCAGTCCCCTTAGAAGACACTTGCAGGCTGCAACATACCCTATAATTAAAGGATCCCCAGAGGATAACAAGGTAAGAAGATAATCCTTATCTAAGAAGATAAGAATCTAACATAAGAACCTTATCTTCTTCACCTTCTCCTGAGGTCTCCTATCCAAAATACACTGAGCAGTTCCACACGTGCCTCATTCCAGCACTGCTGCAGCCCTGAAAGCCCCATTCTCCTCCTTAATGTGAGCCCCAACTGAGAAGCTAATCCACTGATCCAATGCAAAGCTGTAACTATTGAGTCCCAAGAGACAGTTTTACCCAGCTCATCAAAGTAGGTGTCGATGCCGTCTGGTCCCGGGACAGAGCACACGAGCCGGGCCTTGTTGAAGGTGCTCCATTTGTTGACCAGCACTCGTTGTCCCCCAGCATCATTCTGAAAAAAAGGAGAGTAAACTTTACTCAGAAGTGGAGAGAGCTGGTGGTTTTGAAAAGCTTCCTTTTAAGCTTCCTTCCAACTGCGCCCGGCAGCCTACGCCGGAGGAGGGCCGCCTCCTCGCTGTGTAAGACCGCGCCGCGCCGGAGGGGAGCCGCTGCCTGGCCGCGTAAGACCGCGCCGCCATCCACCGCCCACTTGGCTGCTCCGCCACGCCCCAGCACGTGTGGCAGGCGTGCTTCGGACGAGGCGGGGGACGCAGGGCCAGCGGCTACAAAGGGCGTCGGCCAAAGGACGGTTGCCGCCGTTCGGGTGGCTGAGCAGGGGGCGGGGCTGGCCAGGGGCTTGCGCTTGGCGATGGCAGGCCCTCCTGCTGGGCTGTGAGTGAGGGGTGAGAGTGTGTGTGTGTGTTTTTAGTAGTATTTTAAATCTTTTTATGGAGTCGTCCCTGGCCATGCTGCCGCTTATGTTTCCTGGGGAGCGCACGGGTGCCGCCATTGAGGTGGTTATGGGCAGGGGACGTAACAGCGCTGGGAGCTTAACGTGTCCGCATAGAAGAAGGAGGGACAGATGGCTGACACCTGTCCCTACTTCTGGTTTTGCTCCCAGCCAGAGGGTGCCAGGGAGTCTCGTCAGTCGCCCCTCCGGCCTGACGGTGCTGTTGCTTAATGCCAGGTCGGTCAATAACAAATCTGCCCTCATCCAGGACCTGATTGTGGATGAGGGGGCCGACCTGGTCTGCATAACGGAGACCTGGGCGGGAGGGGGGGGATGTTGCCCTCTCCCAAGTGTGCCCGCCCGGGTATCTGGTCCAGCACTGCTCACGGCTGGAGGGGAGGGGAGGGGGGGTCGCTTTGGTTTACCGAGCCTCCATCTCCCTCACGGGACTTCCGGTCCCTTCGAGACCAGGGCTGGAGTGTCTCTATTTGGTGTTGGGCGACCGAGACAGACTGGGGATTCTGTTGGTGTACCGCGCACCCTTCTGCCCAACAGTCTCCCTGCCTGAGCTGACGGAGACTGTCTCGGACCTGGTGTTGAGGACCCCCAGGATGTTGGTCCTGGGGGACTTCAATCTCCATGCCGAGGCTAGTCTGACCGGGGCGGCTCAGGACTTCATGGCCTCCATGACGGCCATGGGGCTGTCTCAACATGTCACCGGCCCCACCCATGAACGGGGACACACTCTGGACCTGGTTTTCTCGACGGGGCAGGAAGAGGGTGGTCTGAGGGTGAGTAATTTATGCTTGACTCCCCTGTCATGGTCAGATCACTTCCTGGTGAGGTTTATGCTCGAGAGCGACTTCTCCCTCTGTAAGGGTGCGGACCCGATTATGTGGGTCCGCCCCCGGAGCCGGATGGATCCAGAAGGATTCCTGAAGGCCCTGGGGGAGTTTCCGGCTGACAAGACGGGTGCTCCTGTCGAGGCTCTGGTCGAACTGTGGAATGGGGAGATGACCAGGGCTGTAGACACGATCGCTCCTAAGCGTCCTCTCCCACCGGGCAGAGCCCGCTCTTCCCCTTGGTATACTCCTGAATTGAGGGCGATGAAGCAGGTTGGGAGACGACTAGAGCGTAGGTGGAGGAAATCACGAGATGAATCTGACCGAACACACTTAAGAGCCCACTATCGGGCCTATGCTGTGGCGGTGAGGGCGGCAAAAAAGAGATTCTTTTCCGCTTCCATTGCCTCCTCACAATGCCGTCCGGCGGAGCTCTTTCGAGTGGTGCAAGGCCTGGTCCGTCCAGGTCCAAAGGAAGACCTGATTCCACCCTCAAAGACCCGCTGTGACGACTTTGCCAGGCATTTCAGGGAGAAAATCGCTCAGATTCGTCACGAGCTGGACACCACTATTGATTCAGAGGTTTCAAAGGAGACACCAACGCTGCCGTCTGGTCCAGATTTATTGGATGAATTTCAGTTATTGCGGCCCGATGATGTGGACAAGGTGCTTGGGCGAGTACGTCCAACCACTTGCCTTTTGGACCCTTGCCCGTCTTGGTTAATAAATGATTCCAAGCACGGGATTGGAACCTGGATCTTGGAAGTGGTTAACGCTTCTCTGAGGGAGGGTCGGGTGCCGGCCCCTTTGAAGGAGGCGGTAGTCCGACCGGTCCTGAAGAAGGCCTCACTGGATCCAGAGATGGCCACTAATTATAGACCAGTGGCCAACATCCCGTTTCTGGGCAAGGTGTTAGAACGAGTGGTGGCGGGACAACTCCAAGCACTCTTGGATGAAACTGATTATCTGGACCCATTGCAGTCCGGCTTCAGACCCGGGTACGGTACTGAATCTGCCTTGGTCGCCCTGTATGATGACCTGTGCAGGGAGAAGGACAGGGGGAGTGCGTCCCTGTTGGTTCTGCTGGACCTCTCAGCGGCTTTCGATACCATCGACCATGGTATCCTTCTGGATAGGCTTGCGGGATTGGGGGTTGGAGGCACTGCTTTGCAGTGGTTCCGCTCCTATCTCAATGGCCGGTTCCAGAAGGTGGTGCTGGGGGACTATGGCTCTGCGCCATGGCAGCTATGCCATGGAGTACCGCAGGGGTCCATTTTGTCCCCTTTGCTGTTCAACATATACATGAAACCGCTGGGAGAGGTCATCAGGAGGTGTGGGCTGCGGAACCATCAGTACGCTGATGATACCCAGCTCTACCTCTCGTTTTCCACCAATCCAGGTGAGGCAGTGGCTGTGCTGAACCGGTGCCTGGCCGAGGTAATGGGCTGGATGAGGGCCAATAAACTGAAGCTCAATCCAGACAAGACGGAGGTCCTGTTGGTTGGTGGATCGGGCTTCGGAGAGGGTGAATTGAACCTTGTCCTGAATGGGGTTGCACTCCCTCTTAGGGACAAGGTCCGCAGCTTGGGAGTGCTCCTCGACCCAGAGCTTTCACTGGAAGCTCAGGTAACAGCAGTGGCGAGGAGCGCTTTCCTCCAGCTTCGGCTAATTCATCAGCTGCGCCCCTATCTGGAGAATGACTGCCTTGCGACAGTGACACATGCGTTGGTGACTTCCCGTTTGGACTTCTGCAACGCGCTCTACGTGGGGCTACCCTTGAAGACGGTCCGGATACTTCAATTGGTCCAAAATAGAGCTGCCAGGCTGCTGACGGGGACTGGACGTTATGTTCACATGACTCCAGTTCTCCGTCAGCTTCACTGGCTTCCCATTGAAGTCCGGGCCCAATTCAAGGTGTAGGTTATGACCTATAAAGCCCTAAACGGCTTGGGTCCTGGTTACCTGAAGGAGCGCTTACATCCTTATATGCCCAGCCGCCCCCTGAGATCGGCGGGAGAGGCCCTTCTCCGGGAGCCCTCCATGGAAGAAGTTAGGAGGGTGGTTACTCGGAGGAGGGCTTTCTCAGCGGTGGCGCCTAAGTTATGGAATGCGCTCCCCAGAGAGGTCCGCCTGGCGCCGTCGTTATTTGTTTTTCGGCGCCAGGCGAAGACCTTTTTATTTAAGCAGTATTTTAAATGTTAATATTATTGAATTTTATTTGGCCAGGGCGGCTTGTTTTATAGTGTATATTTGTATTTTATTGTATATATTTTAAAATGTTATTTTAATTTTTTGTTGTAAGCCGCCCCGAGGCTTCGGCGAATGGGGCGGCATAAAAATGTTTTAATAAATAATAATAAATAAATAAATAAATAAATAAACAAGGAGTTTAATCCAATTAAGCTGTGTTTTGGGAATGCTCCAGAAGGACATCAAAGCTAAAAACCAGGAAACCAAAAAGGGCAGTTACTGACTTCTGTGTGCATCATTCTAGTTTCTGCTCTTTAGAACAGTGACATTCAAAGCATTCAACCACCAGGGAGTGATGGCTTCCAACTTGGGTGTTTTAAGAACGCGATTACATAAATTCATGAAGAATTAGGCTATCAGCTGTTACTGATTATGCTGGCTCTCTGCTCCCTCCAGTTCCAGAGGGCATGTACCTCTGAATACCAGTAGCTGGGAGACCTAAGTTGGAGGGTGCTATTCCACTCATGACCTCTTCTGGGCTTTACTTGCACTTCTGGCTGGCCACTCTGAGAACAGAATGTCGACTGGATATGCCTCTGGTCTGATCCAGCATGGCCGCTTTCCCACAGAGACTTGCTGCTGCAGAACCTCTGAATGTAGGACATGGAGTCTTGCTCAATGGAGAATTCTGAGGTCTGTTTCAGGGGGCGCTGTAGGATCTCTCCTGACTGGCTAAGTGGACTAGTACTCAAAAGATACCAATCTACAGCATAATATTCAGCAGCAGCAGCAACTTCTGGACACTGCATTTTCAGGAGGATATAGACAAACTGGAGTGGTTTCAGAAAGTTCAACAAAGATGGCCAACAAAGATGGAAAGCAGCTCCTATGTGGAAAGGAAGTGGATGCATTTAGCCTGGAGAAGAGAAGGCTGAGGGCTATAATAATTTTCTGAAGGGCTGCCACACAGAAAAACGGCAAAGACTTGCTTGCAGTTATTCCAGATGGCAGGAGTAGATCTAATGGGCTTAAGTTACAGGAGGCTAATATTGCAGTTGAACTGTAAGTGTAATTTCATAACAAGAAGAGCAGTTCAGCAATGGAAGCATTTCCCTAAAGGGGTAGTGTATGCCCGCATGCTGAAGGTATTCGAGCAGGGGCTGGACAGCTGTCTGTTGGGATACTTGAGCAATTGTTTCCCTGCATCAAGCAGGGGATTGGACTGGATGGCCTTAGAGTCCACTTGCAACTCTTATGATGCAAAGATTTGGGAGCCAGCAAACCTGCCGGAATAAAAGCATTTGGGTCTAGTATCTAAAGGGCAGGGTGTGCCATGGCACCTGTTTTCCAAGAGCAGGATGTGCTGCTGTTTGGACATTATTGTAGAAAAGGCTCTCTCCTGTGTCCCTGCTAACCACACTTCTGTTGGGTATGAAACCAGAGAACAGAGTACCCTCTGTCTTTCAAAGGGGACAGAGAAGTTCATCCTCAACTGAAAAGCTGTTCACAAAACAACAGAAAAAGCCACAA